TTTCCACTCGACGGTAAGTTCTCGAAAAAATAAGACGAAAAGTCAACATTCGGCGATATAACGAGGTCCGCGAATCAGTGAAAGTTTATCTAGGGGAGTTTGTGGGAAACTCCTGAATTCAAACCAACTAAGCAGAGGAAAGCCAGTAGGACACTGGACGGCACTATCCTATACAAAAGATAGGTTGATGACACATTGATAATCACTCGAAGCGCCAGGGAGACTGAGGAACTGTTAACTGAATTGAATTTAGTTCACAAGGACATACAATTCACTACGGAAACCGAGAAAAACAGCAAACTCCCATTTCTGGATATTGCTATTAGTCGAAGACCGGACGGGACTATTTTGAGGTCTGTGCATCGAAAATCCACCTGTTCCGGTCAGTATATGCACTTTGGAAGTTTCGCTCCAATCCAGTACAAAAGAGGTTTCGTACGTACACTGGTTGACTGAGCTAGGAGGCTGTGCACTTCAGATAATGTGAAAAGTGAGTTAATTCGGCTCACGGAAGCTCTGAAACTAAATAGCTACCCAGCAAAGTTTATACAATTGTAAAGCGAAAAAAGCCAATCCCAGACCCTCGAAGATGATAGTAACAAAATGCGACGTCACCATTCAACTTCCTTTCAAAGGTGACGATGTAGGACAACTCATACAAAGACGGCTGGTGGCGACTGCAGCTCGCACGTATTTTGCTGCAAATCCAGTCGTTCGCTTCTCAACAACCCAGATTCCGAAGCCCTTGGTGAAATCACCGCTTCCTCTGTCCGCCAAATCCCATGTAATCTATGAATTTCAACGTTGGTGCGGAGCTACCTACGTGGACAGAACAGAGAGGCAGCTGCTTACCCGAGCGACTGAACACATACCGGTATGGGTCGAACGCGAGCGAGATTGAACGCTACACAAACAACCAGGCCATCAAGCCAGTCTCACAGAGCACCTGCGTCATCAATTGCTCGCCATATGCTGCAGACTGGCCACCAAGCTGATCGTGGGACTTCGTTTCGGATTGTTTACACAACTCCGAATGGACGGCTGCTAAGATTTGCAGAAGCCATTGCAATCAAGCGCCGAAAGCCCCACTGTGTCAGCAGAAGGAGGTCTACATCAGTCTGGTGTTGCCCTGGTGACCACGTAAGCGGAAGAATGAACTGATACCATGTTAGATTGTCATGACTCTTGATATATAAAATATTTTTTCTGCAATAAGCACCAGCTGAGATGCAGCGAAATGATTCCGGAATTCAATCGTGCTCGCTTGCAATGTTGTGTTCTTTGATCACAGCAGAGTTGAATCAGCGTCTCTCTGTGCAACGCTTCGGCTAGCCAAAGGCGCTAGTCGTGAGTTCTCTGAGAAAATTCATTTGCTTTGACCCGGGCAACCTGGCAGTATGCCGCTCACAAACGACCCACGGGACTTTGTTAGCGCTATAAAGATCATTGAATCATGATTTATTTGGCATACAGTTTGGATTCCGACGCGTAACATATAACAGCAGAATGACTGGTCACTACTCAAAGTATAAAAGTCTAATTGGGTTATTCAAAAGAATGGATGCGCCTTCAGAAGATTGGCTATCACATTTCACTGACGCGGTTTCACTGAAGTTTTATAAACTGAGACGTCAATGACAATAATAATAAATCGATCATTCATGGAAAATCACTGACCGTGAGCAATGACGCCGCAGTGGCTCGTTTGCTAACATCGACCTCGAGACAACAGTCCAAAAAATCCAACAATTCCGGACTCAGATGATCCTTTCGGAAATGTGGTTTCCCGTTTGTCGCGATCAAATACAGGGCCTAGATTGCGCGAAGCGGATAAGGGGGCAAAGATAGGGAGTAACTTGATCGACTGGTAGCAAAATGTAACCGCATGGATACACACACAAAACAAAACAAAACAACGTAAGTAACTTCTGACGACTCAAAACGCATGAACTCGGCGGAGCGGGATAAAAGGGAGAAAATAACGAGGAGGGAGAACTGCAACAACCAAAGAACGAATCGGGTTAGCCAGTGTGAAAAACGAAAGTGTCCTCGGAAAACTAACACCAATTCAACGATTTAATGGAGAAAGTAATAAACGACAGTTTTCAAACAGAAAGGGAAAAATCACAAAAAAGTAAAACGCGGTGGAACGACACACTCAGAAAACGAGGGTGAACGACCCAGACAAACGGAGTGATGGTCTAGAGAGATAAAAAAAATTGAGACCAGAGCAGTATCTAGTTTAGCTGGTGATAGGTCACGAGAATTCAGCTGACATCATTCATAGAGTCAATACATATGCATTGGGTAATGCTTAATGTGGGAACATCAGATCATATTAAAAAGTAGAACTGACTTCAATCTGCATTTGGTCATTTGGTCAAAGAAAGAAGCGGAAGATTCTACAAAGAATATATGTGAACAGCTTATGAATTTGAACAGATTCAGTACTGTACGAGATACACAAGAAAAGTTTAAACAATACTTTGAACATTTAGGAGAAGCCTCATATTAGATCAGACCGATTAGGCGTACCGAATTGTCTCATTAGACGCCAAATAGTATATTTTGTAGACTCGCGAAGAGAGGAAATCCGAGTAGATGGTCATCGAATCCACCGAAAATAACGGTGAAAATGTCAGAACAGAGAATTTAAAACACGCAAAAGTGGAACCCCATTGGTTAGGCTCATTGCTTGGTCGTTAACACGCATTGTTGCGTTTCGATGTGTGTTCGAAACCCACCGTCTCCAGTTTGACTTGGTGGTAGTCGGATGACCTGTTAACCATCGAGATACCTTTAGTAGTTTGAACTCGATTATAGAAACAGCCGTCAGTGGTGACTAAGAGACAAGCGTATCTTTTACCAGTACTGGTATTATTAAACAAATATACCATTTTATCTCGCAGATTATAGTGTTTGAAGTTTAGTTGCAACCCAAGTTTTTTTTTCCGTCTGATTATCAAGAAATCAGAGTTCGTAACTCAAATGTAGATGCGGCAACTGAATATTCCGCTTTTCTCGAAAATTTCACCTTTGGGAGATTACCTCAAACGGTCGAGCTCGCGGTCCCGTCCATCAAAACTCCAATCACTGAACCTTGATTAATTAGAAAAGACTAGGGGCCAAGACGGTAATATCACATTCCTCCTCACTATTATTGTCAAGCACTAGAAGCGTCAACCGACGCCACGACACGGTTTCACCGCCATGTCACCTCTTTCAACTTTGCCCAGAAGGTGAGCACCAATCCGACTGAGGCCCTATGCGGTTCGCCACTCCAAATCACAACAATGAAGTTGCCGGTTGAAACTAGTAGACAGTGGGTCTTCGTTTCTCGCGATAGGATGTTTAAGAGAAACTGGACTTCCTTCACGTAATTTATCAAGAGAATTACACAGTAAGTAACATGTGAACCAAAAGGATGAGGTATACTAGTATAAACAATTAGAAGATTAAATTGATGTGACACATTGCAAGATTTCGGATCATAGGAAATAATATTACGCTCCAATGATCATAATGATGTCAGGAAGGCAAACTAACATTATCCAATTGCATCGCCATTACTGTTCTCGCAGGCAATACGCACCACAACTGGAATCAATAGGTTATCGCTGTCAATTTGTGTGACATGTGATGCGATTATCCCGGCAGGAGGATAAAAGTGACACTGCATTGCATTATGCGTATATGTGAGACCGAGAGGAGGAGGAGGGATGGCAGATAGTGAAAGCGACTGATCGAGTGATTGCAATCGATCGGTCGAACGATCGTCAGCTAAAACATCAGGCTCACTGGAGGAAGAAGTGATGAGAGAGAGAGAGAAAGACACAAACAGAGAGGGAGAGGAAAAGGGAGAAAGAGTTATTCTTCAAAGTACGCATTGTTGTTATTTGAAGGCCTGAAAGCATACCGCGGAAACACGATCGATGCTCAGTCACATTTGCATGAGCTCGGTATCAATTCTGTACAGTTCTCCACAGCGGATGCATTAGTTCCAACGTGAAGTGCGTTTGTGAGCTGCCGATTAGGCAGGCCTGTCACTTGTGCATCAATGATTGTGATGCGATTGATATTGTGTGTGCGTGTGTGTATGATTCATTACGCCCAGTTTTATTTTGTCATGGCCTCTCAGAAGACTCCAATAACTTTAAAGATCAACAAGTCTCGTTCCCATCACAACCATTCAATTGATTATTCATCTGCAGTGGCGCACTAAGTGGTCGTTCCTGTTATAAAACTGGCCCGCGTCCACAGATATCTGTTTGGAATAGATTTTGGGAAAATTCTATAAGGTACATGCACGTTCTTTCCATTCGAGTTTAAACGGAATTCAATTGACAATCAAAAAGAGATTAAGAGAGAATATATGAGTGGTTTCACAACAGAGAGAAGTTCAGTCAAGAGTTTAAACGCCTGATGAGCTGTGAATGTGCATTGGCCAAGGCTGATTAAATGCTCTGAAGCGTTGATATTCAAACAGTGAAAGCAAAGCATCTCTGATTTAGCGAAAATGCTCATAGGAACAGTATCGAGAGATAGAGTTTAGATTAGGAGCAGCCTTACAAAGCACGCACGGGTACAGTTGTAGCGGTGAGGCTTTAAGGGGGGATTGGAGTGGTTGATCAGACGATTACCCTACTTGAAAGTCGACAGATTCGCAGTAGTATGGGTCTCTCAATACTTCTAGCAAACGAAACTGAACCATGAACGAACCGTTTTCGTTCTGAAACCAATAATCATAGATTTCGCTCCTTGGCCTGCGATAAATCCGACGGCCGTGGTGAACTGATCTGTTCCGCCAAGTGACTTGTCCACCAACACAAAGCTTAGGATCAATGTTACAAGTTTCATAAAAATTCCCACTGGAATCTATTGAGCCACATAGTTTAGTTCCAATTTCACAGCACATATCCGCTCAAGCATTCTTGATGGCTTTCGAAGGCCGTAAAACACATACCAACACACAAATCATGTCACCGTAACCTTTCCATTTCATGTTCGAAATACGAGGGTAAAGAAGGGAACTCCCGACCGCACATTACCGAAGGGAGGGTGGGAGACAAAACGACGCGGAAATAACGGTCTGCAACTCGATGATTCAGGTCCTCATGAGAATACAAAAGGCAAGTAATACTGCTGAGTCCGAATTAAGATGAAACATCTGTCTACTGTTCTTTTATCATTGTTGGTAAATTCAACGGACTGAAATTGGAGCAGAAAACAACAACCCCCAAGAAAGTGAAGCTAACACCAATCAACCATTGATGTGGTGACCGTCAGCTCGCACGAGTTACTCTAAAAACAACATTGAAAGACTGTTTTTCACACAGAAATTTGAGTGAATGTAAGCGAAATGTAGCCGAAGGATGAATCTCGGCGACAAAATCGATGATACTCATTGCCATTCAGTCCGTACATTTGACTATCCCTTCGACTGTATGAGCAAACAGGCAAGCACACGCACACACACACACACGGACACTGAGAAGCACTTTATCCCGTTTTCAAGGACATTCTATACGAGAAAAGAAAAACGAACAAAACCAACGTGACCTGAAGAGTGAAACAGTCACGTTTGTTTTTCACTATAATACCCGCTCAGACGAATATGTATGTAAAGCCGCCCGCTGATTGTGTGAACCCGAAGCTACACGACTTAATATTGTTCAGTTCCGAGGGACACAAACGAGACCGGATTGTTGATGAAAAAAATCTCCCGGTCATATTCGATGCTTGACACGATCTAAGAAATAATCCGTATGACTATTTTGCAGTCGTTTTTGATTGTTAGATCTTGCAAGCTGTTTGGTCACTCGATGGTTGAAAGATTGCGATTAGTAATAAGGTGATAGATAAATAAATTGAACAAGCATTATTATTCCTATAGTTGACATAAGTCTGAGTCGACGTAGAGTCGAAAAATTCCCGGTACACCAATTTTTACAACCAACAAATCGGTCCACTATCATAAGAACTGTCTGAATAGTCCCACACAGCACATTTTAAACAAAACACTAGGTGGAAAACGATCTCGTTTTCAGTGAATCGTAAACATGCCAATACGTCAGAATACCGGAATTAATAATGAAGAATAAAATTGCAGTTGCTGTTCAAAGGGGACACATCAACTGAGGTCAAACAAATGAGATTATCCGACGCAATTGGTAAAATGTTCTAAAAACTTCGTGTGGTATTCTCGTTCAAGTCAATTGTACGTTTGCGATTGAAAGACAAAGTTCCCAACACTGACCCAACGGCTATTAAAGGACCCTGTGTAACTAACAGAGATGAACGGACCCATGGGCTCCAAATACGTCTACCGAATGGCGGATGAGCTGATACGGAGCCGCCGGCACCAACACACTGCTATCTTACAATCCTAACTTGGTCGTCAAAAGGCTAGAGATGTTCCCCTTGAAACAAAACACCGAGTGGTGCTGGGGACGTCCCTCGTATCAAATGTCCCAGAAACTGCATGACAATCACGGAGCCAGTTGATCCCACTCTAAGGAACCAACTGCAGTTTCAGTTTCAGTTTGTATAACCATTAACCATGCACTATCGTGCGCCAGTTTTGGTTGCAATCTTTTGGCAGCCCATTTGGATGAACATTAGCAGAAAGACAGGAAAGGTTAAAAGTAGGATCAAAGAGAAAATTTAGAATTTCAGAGGACTAATCTTGTAGAGAAATCGACACGATGCACGAACGCCACTGTTTACGACACTCACTCAATGTCTCTAACCATCGGCTACCATCACCCCGAGGTTCCGGGTCAGGGAGCGACCAACAAACTGCAGTAAAATAAGTATTCATGAGTACAACCGTCTGTGATTGAACACCGGAACGATTAAGTCACTTGCCAGTGCAGTGATCTCACACCTCGTTGAAACGAATCACCCTGTGAACGTGGCTGAGGTCTCCCGCTCCCTGATAAAGATTCGTGGTTGACCAGCAAGACAGGTTTGTTGTCGGATGCTGGCCGCCACAGAAACGGTGGACATCCGTCAGCACAACCCGCTCTACGTTCCCCAAAGCAATCCGTGGAGATAGTTATACTCACTTAGTCTCCCCTACACACCTCGTATTACGAGTAATCTAGATGATCGGATGAATGCACAAGCAACTGTGACCATTGTGAATGCAAACGCCGGTCTTATGATGAAATCAATCAATCAATCAATCAATCAAGCTGCGATATAATCGGTGTATTCCGAAGCAAAATGTTAATCTTGATTACTGTTATTATATTGTGATGTACTGGTATTGCCACAAACATGCGAATTACTACGAAACAGTCATGTCGGTGACCAGAAAGTCCAACAGGACTCACACCCATGTATGAAATAAGTCTGAAAGAATCATGTTCAGAGCAGATTTGACCTTCATACAAGCCTTGACTAGGTCAGACGCATATGACTAACAACAAGAGGTCAGTTTCAAAAACAGCAAACTCACTTTGAGTGGGTTCTCACTCAGATAAGGCGGTTCGCCCTCAATCATCTCTAATGTCATGATACCCAGGGACCAAATATCCACCTTGTTACCGTATTGTTTGCGGCTGACCACTTCCGGAGCCATCCAGTAAGGTGTGCCAACCATTGTGTTCCGTTTCACATCTTGGTCGGAGCTGAGTTGAGCACAAAATCCAAAATCGGTCAATTTTACTGCACCATCCAAACCGAGTAAAATGTTGTCCGATTTAATGTCTCGATGGATCACGTGTTTGGAATGCAGAAATTCCAGAGCCTGCAGGGTCTGTCAAGAAAATAAGCATGAAAGGAAGAAATTGGAATTAAAGAGGATTATAACACATTATGCAGATGACCGGATAGGTTATCGATGAGACATTTGCAGGAACTGTGGTCAGTAGAATAATGCGAACGCAACGAGCGATGGAGAAGAAATCAGATAGAGACAAACGCCATAGCTGCACGAAAAACAGACAGAAATAAACTTCAGATTCGCTGAAATATTGACACAATGATTTATGAGGAAAGACCACAAAGCATTTGTTTGTTCCAGCCTATAGTTCCTAGTTTAATCCAAAACAGTTTCAGTATGATCGGAGTGGGTGTCTTGGGTTGGGGCCAGTCAATTTTTCTTTGCACCATGCGAAATGCTCCTATACGAACAAGTGTCTCAAATATCCTCCACTAAGATAGCTCCACATACGGTTTCCACATGGCGGTTTAATCTACACAAAATGGGAAGACGAAAAGCCAACATCGGTTCGATTTGGCATCGAGATGTAATTGGGCACATTGGACGCTTGACTCCATCCAAAGTGCGTACGATCCAATGAACAGCAGCTGGACAGCGACCCCGACAGAGCTCACAGACCGTCTTGCCGCCTTGCTCGTCAGGCTTTGGCTGGCTGAAGGCTCCAATTGTGAGTTCTCTGGGAAAATGCATTTATATTAACCCAGGCAACTTGGCAGTATTCCGCTCACAAACGATTCATGGAATTTTGTCTGTCCTATAAACATTTATTTATAGTTATTTGCTTGACGCACAGTCTAGATTCAGAAGTATGAAATATAATAAGATAAAAAAGCCAAGTTAAACAACAGACTGATCCAGTGTTTGAGTAGATGAATAAGTGCCATTGTTTGCGACACCCAGCAATATCGCGGTGTCTCTAACCATCGGTGACCATCATCTCAGGGTCCCCGGCCGGGTAGCCTAACGGAAACCATGTGAGCCAGTTTCCTGGTCAGGGTTTTCATACGATCTTGCCAGGTCTTAGGTTGACCGCCCTTGATTTTTTTCCAACCGCTACCTGCCTCATCTCATCGCTTGCCGTGGCAACCTATCTGGTGACATGCGTAGCACATGTCTCAACCAATGTGATCTATGGAAGTCGACTAAATGCTCCAGTGGACGACCACGATTACCTCAAACTCTACGCATAACCTCAGCATTGCTCGTCCAGTTACTCCACCAGACTCGTGCAATGCTACGTAGACAGCGGTGGTCGAACACCGACAACCTATTTTCTCATCCTGTTCCCGTAATAGCCAAGTTTCTGCACCATCAAGCAAAATGGGCAGAACTGCTGCATCACAGACAGCCGGACGTCGCAATGGTGCCACAGATGTCTTAAATTGGCAAATAACAACCGAGCCTTTTGTATGCACGCCGACACTTCATCTGTGATGCGTCCGCCGGGAGAGATACAGCTACCCAGGTAGCAAAACTTGTCTACCTTCTCTACAACTTCCCCGGTCAGGGTGAGGTTGGTGACTGGGCCAACCAAATCTTGTAGTAGCATTTAACACTTTGAAGGTGCAAAACGCATACCGAACATGGATACATTAGCACTCAAACTATCCAGGAAAGCTTGCAACTTACTTGGATCTTCACTTAGTAGCACAACGTCGTCTGCATACTCTAGATCAGACAGTCTACCACCTCGGAGTAAATCGACACCGCCATCCTAGAACGAAGGTAGAGCTGTGTCAAGAATTAAATCTATGACAAAGTCAAACAGAAACGCAGAGGGAAACCGTGTCGAACAACACATTCTGCGGTGAACTCGGGTGAAAAGTGCAGTAAGCCCGGACTCGGCTTCGGCTACTATTATAAAGCGATTGTAATATTGAAATGCACTTCTCGGGCGCACCCTTAATTGGAAAGGCAGCGCCAGAGTTTACAGCGATCGACTGAGTCGAAAGCCACTTTCGCGTTCTAGGATTTAACGAAGAGTGAAGATGTGGTCGATACAACCTCGATTAGGTCTAAAACCAGCCTGGTTCTCACGTGTGCACTCTTCGCGTACAACAGACAATCGACGGAGTATGATGCCGGCGGGAAGTTTAGAGGCAATATTGATTAAACTAATTCCCATGTGTTTTTCACAGGAGGATCTATCACCTTTCTTGTAAGTCGGTATGATGACCGACTCACACCATTCAGTTGGAATCTGTTCTCACTCCCATACTGAGCCCAGGAGTTTTGTTAACTCCAAAACCAAGGCTGAACCTCCATCGTTAAAAACAGATGGGAACAGCCCATCGGGGCCTGAAGCCTTATGCTTTTTGAGATAGCTTATTTCTCGGGTAACCTCCACTTCAGATGGAGGACTGATGTCAACAGTTGAACCGGGTGTAAGGAGGTCGTTTGCTAACGAGAGTCAGCTAAGCTGAGCTTTAAAGTGTTCTGCCCATCGATCTAGATGGCGTTACTGAATATGAATCAGTGTGCCGTCGGACTCCTTAATTTCCTCACTTATGCCTACTTTCCATGGACCTGTACTCCTAATTAATTGGAAAAGATTGCGACTCTTACCGATAGCGGCAGTGTTCTTCATCTCTCGACCCTTCCCAACCCACCACTTCTCGCGGTCACTCCTCAGAGGATACAGACAGTACACTGCCACTTCACAAGCACTGATGATGTCACCTCGGCTGGCGATGAAACGTTTGCAAACAAATTACCAAGCTCGGCGAACAGGCGAATTGGAATTCAGTTCACCCGAGCTACGAGAACCGATTTTC